AAAACAATATTTTTTAGACTATTTTTTATATATATATATATATATATATATATATATATATATATATATATATATATAAGAACATGCAAAAGAAACAGAAACATGGAGGAAGATAAACAAGAAAAGACATCATAACTGTCAATCTATAAATGTCTTAAAAATTCAGGTCACTTGAATTTTTTTGATAAGTAAAAAAAAGATATTTGATAGATTAATAGCTTAAAATATTTGTAAAAATAAATAAATAATACTTTTATTTAATAATAAATGTACAATAAATGTATCATACTTATAATAAATAAAAAAAATTATTAATGGCCAGTCATTTCTGATGTACACAAGGCATGAAACAGTTTGACAGCACAAGGTGGTTTGTCTGTACCTGTGCCCTCTCATCATCATATTCCAGACAACCCATCCCATCCAAACGCTGAAGATCAATCGAGCCTCTCCAGATCACACACACTCCATTCAGGATCATAGGAGCCTTCAGATAAACCTGCACACACACACACACACACACACACACACACACACACATAGTTATTATGATGTATGCACAGCACAATAGCAATGGATATTACAAAAAAAAAGTAAATAAAAGATGACAAAGAACCTGAAGACTTTTGTTGCATTTTCAGAGTAGATTTAGGCCAAACTAAATGACGGATTAATGATATCCTGCACAATTGTTTAGTCCATATCAATTAATTATAAAATACATTACAAATGCAACTCATATTTAAGCAAACATTTCTTGAAATTCTTGATTCTTGAAAACAAAACCTTATAAAGTAGTTTTATTATACTACTTATACTTACTACTTTATAAAAGTAGTATTTATTATTTTTTACACACAAAACAAACAGTAGTTAAAAATTAATAATTATCAATAGGTGTACACTGCACATGTTCACAATTTGTTTTTTTGTAATTGTATAGAAGTTTTTTTTTAAACCATACAAAACTGTGAATACAAAGACTACATTTTATAAGAATTTGGCACATGCATTTTAAACTTTTAAAATATTTTTTTCATTTTCTTAATCTTACATGCTTTTAGTGGTCATTGATGTGTCTAAAGACTACTCCAATAAATCCACATACACAGACACAACAAACATTTAGAACAGGTGAAATGCCATAACCACCTACTCCACAGTTGTAGCCGCATTTGAAAACCCCCTCTCAACGTCACTGTCACGGAAACACCTGCCTCACCAGCTGAATCAGCCTCCTACACCCGCTCACAATCACCTGATTACTGATCACGGACACCTGCACCCACTTACCACACCAGTCAAATACTCACTCACCTCAGTCACTCGTTGGCTGGTCTCAAGTTTACAAGCTTCTCTCTATGGGTTCCTTGCCTCCCGATCTGCCTGTCAAGCCTCGGATTCCTCAGTTCTCGGCCGGAGGACCTAAGTGCCAACCCCAGATAAGACTGTGTTCTCTGCTTCCATTTATTCCTAAATTGATTCTTTTCTGTTGGAAGCTCCTCCTAAGTTCCTTTGAATAAAC